CTAGGCCCGAAACGTCAGCCTCTCTGCTCCTATGATGCTGCTTGGCCTGCTGTGTTCATCCAGCCCTGCACCTTGTTGTCTCGGATTCTCCAGCATCTGCAGTTCCTACTATCTCAGCTGCAATCTAGGCTGAGCTAGTTGGAGGGGTGGATGCCTTTGATTTGATTTATTGTTGTCATGTGTTCCTAGATACAGTGAAAAGTTTTGTTTTGCGTGCAGTGCAGGCACATCAAACCATACAAAGATCATAGGGTGATGGAACGGGGCAAGGAATACAAAGTTACGGCTGCAAACAAGGTGCGCGAGAAACAAGATCAACACTAGATTTGAAGTTTGAGAGATTCATTCAGAAATCTAATAACAGGGGAAAGAAACTGTTCTTTAACCAGTTGGTACTTTTGTTTAAGCTTCTGTTTCTTTTGGACCTTGCTCCAATAACTAATGTTCCCCTTTGAGCAAGATGTCAGTCACTCTTCCTATTGTCTCTTCATCTAGATCATAGTCAAAGGTTCTTCTGTGCCACTCCTCCCTTGGCATTTAGACAAGCACGTGAAATTGCTCTAGCATTGAGGGCTATGTGATGAGTTCTGGAAAATGCAATTAGAATAGAGTCATAGATCTGTACAGCACAGGTACAGATCCTTTGGTCCAACTTGTCCATGCTAACTCGATATCCTAAATTAATCTAGTCCCATTTGCCAGCGTTTGACCCATATCCCTCTAAACCCTTCCTATCCACGTACCCATCCAGATGCCTCTTAAATGTTGTAATTGTACCAGCCTCCACCACCTTCTCTGGCAGCTCGTTCCATACACACACCACCCTCTGTGTGAAAAAAGTTGCCTCTCAGGTCCCATTTAAACCTTCACCCTCTCACCTTAAACCCATGTCCTTTAGGATTTGAACTCTCCTATCCTGGAAAAATGACCTTGGCTATTTATCCGATCCAGGCCCCCCACGATTTTATGAACCTCTATAAGGTCTTCCCTTAGCCTCTATTAGGCCAGGGGAAAAGAAAACGTCCTAGTCTATTCAGCCTCTCCCTGTAGCTCAAACCCTCAATCCCTGACAACTCCCTTGTAAATCTTTACTGAACACTTTCAAGTTGAACAACAGCCTTCCTATAGCAGGGGGACATCTTTCAGAACAACAGATCAGGGGCCATGTCTGACTTCTCAAGTCTAAAGGCCATATTTCTTTTTGTATTTTTGCCTGTGGACGGAAATGGGAGAAGGACTGTTTTAAATCCAAGGATTGTGGAAAGGATTACGATGCTTTTTAAAAGCAAGTTACTTACACTCGTTGTAAGCGAATAGGTAGATGTTTGATGGCCGGCATGGATAAGATGGGCTGAAGGGTCTTGTTCTGTGCTGTAAAACTCTATGACTCTATCTTTCTAAGTTCCCAGGAGTTGGAACAATCCCTCCTATATTGGGTTTGCGATTTTACTTAACTCTGGCCCCAGAGGCTTGAGGAGACACGATTCAGCACCAAGGACAGCGCTTGCAGCTGGCCTCTCCTTTCAGAACCGTGGACAGCGCTCCCACCTCCAAGCACGTCCTGTCCAGGGCTAGGGCACCGCTCACAAGGCGATGGAGAGTAGCCTGGGATATGTTTGCTTGCATTAAAAAAAAACTCACAAACTTTCCTTCTATTTTCATGTGGCCGCCTTCCTCGATGTGCAAAGACACGGAGGGAGGACAAATGCAGGCACCTCCTCTTTGACATTGCAAATATTAAACATGGGAAAGTAG